CGTGGATTTTTTAAACGAATATTTTCTCAAGCCTCCATAGGCGTGGATTTTTTAAACGAATATTTTCTCAAGCCTCCATAGGCGTGGATTTTTTAAACGAATATTTTCTCAAGCCTCCATAGGCGTGGATTTTTTAAACGAATATTTTCTCAAGCCTCCATAGGCGTGGATTTTTTAAACGAATATTTTCTCAAGGCTATAAATAGGAGTGGTTTTTTTAAACGAATATTTTCTCAAGCCTCCATAGGCGTGGATTTTTTAAACGAATATTTTCTCAAGCCTACATAGGCGTGGATTTTTTAAACGAATATTTTCTCAAGCCTCTATAGGCGTGGATTTTTTAAAGAATATTTTCTCAAGCCTCCATAGGCGTGGATTTTTTTAAAGACTATTTTCTCAAGCCTCCATAGGCGTGGATTTTTTAAAGAATATTTTCTCAAGCATCCATAGGCGTGGATTTTTTAAAGAATATTTTCTCAAGCATCCATAGGCGTGGATTTTTTAAAACCATTTTAATTAAATAAAAAAATCCTCTGACCGCTTTTCCTATACAACTTTGTTTAGGAGGAGAATACCAAAATTTAGTCTGAAATGACACCTTTGATCACAGGCAACGACAGCATTTTTCTAATGAAATGCATTTCGATGCTTTGTTGTTGTTGTCGTTGTTTTTGTAATCGAATTCTGGCAATAGGAAGTTCGGTAGTTTGTTTATATTTTGCAATGTTTGATTGAATTCCCTTGCATTATTGAATGTTTTGGTTGGTTGCTGTTGTTGTTCTTAGTTTTGTTTTGTTGTATTTCAAACTAACCCCACACAACATCAAACATGTGTCCACATTGTTGTGTGGTCTTTTCCAGTCTCTCGAACATGTTTGATTGTGTTTGCTACCGTTTTGGTTGCATCGGCGTGTTGTATTATTTTTGCCGGGTACACTGCCGATTGGAATATTTGTTTGGTTGCAACTGGAATGGAATGAAATTTACGGTATAATTGAATAGATTATGTTGCATGTAGAGTTGCCATATTACAAGATAAATGTAAAGTTTGACTGTCATAAATTGATGAAACGAAAAATTAATTTGCAATTTGTTCATCAACTAATCATGATAACGACTATTATCTTGATTAGACGGATCTGACAAAATGCTTCAGTATATTTCCGCTAATTAACTTCTAACTTCCAGAAATATCTAAAAATCGACGGATTTGCTTGACTCCGAACAGTGTCCAGGTATACCAAAACCTCACTCCTGAGAGATGCTGGTATAATTTTACCCATGAATGTACACATGATTTGTTTAGCGTCAACTAACCTGACCTTAAAATGATTCAAAGGTTTCCCAGGAACAGTTAAAGCAGTCTAACATTTGGAACAGTAATCTAGCTGTATTTCCTAAAAAGCATCCTTAGGGTCATGACTTCTGTCTTAGGCAGACTGCTCATAAGACCTTCTATGTGAGGGAATAGATAGGCGTCTTATTCTGTAATAGCGTGGCGCAACCAGATCAAAAACGGCTCAATTGGCTAAGCATTCTTCATCCCTATGATTTTGTATTGCTATAGTTGTAGCCTGCAAACATCCAACATTTCATAGGTAGTCTTAAATTTTATTTTAGCAGCACGCCTTGGTATATAGTTATTTCGCACCACTGATTTACTGGCCCTATAAGCTTCAACAATTGTTCATTCGAGGACGATTCCTGTTCTGCTGGGAATCCGATCCGTTGTGTGTTTAGCACTCTTTTGTCCTAGTACATATGACCCTGACATGGATATGCAACACATATTTTTTCGAATAAGATCGTTTGCCCTCGATATCTTTTCCTACGCGGTCGAATTTCAACTCGACAACAATAATTTATCCTTTAATTATACCCCTTACAACTATGTTGTAAGGGTCTGTCCATTATAATTTGCAAACACGATACAGGTCGACGTTAAGAACCAATCGTCACGAAATTTGGGCAAAGAATACCCCCATGGTTTTTGGTAATGATAATATTCAGGTGATCAGATGGACCAAAATATTTATTTATGTCTGTTTTTCTGGTCGTTTCAGAGGCCAGGAACGGAATCTGAACAAAGAATAAGCATAATAACTGTTTTGATGAAGATCAGTCAATATTTAACGGGTCAAATGGACACAGACTTTTGTGTGAAGAATGAAATGTCGCGCAAATCACTTTGCAATTTTAAATGAATTTCCGGCTGTAGTCATGGACGACGTCTATTATTTTCGGTATTTAGGGTGTGCAATGAACCGAATACTTTATTTTTGGTCAGACTTTCATGTCGCTCTAGAGCATGGCTCGGCAACATATTTATATGCATTTGTTTGGTCACACACAGACACAAAGTGTATGGAGGAACTTGCGCTCTCTCGAGAAACTTCGTCTGCAATAATACATTGCTCGGGAAAACAAGAATTGGAAAATATGCCAGGATTAGAACGTGGAACTGTTGACTTATAATCGCTCAAGAGGGTGCAAATATTGCGCAATATTGCCTTGGCTCAGAATATAGAACCACATATAGTTAGATTTCCGTGGTAGTTGTCTAGGGTATCATATGGTCGGTCCCGTCCGACTATACTGCTCCGCTCACTGGTTTTATATTTTGGATTCTCATTGTTAAAATATGTCTTGATACATATTTTGAGCATTTTTATACCCTACACAACTATTTTTTAAGAGTATTGTAGATTTCTGTGGCTCCGAGAGTTGGAGCGCTGCGAAATATTGGTCCTAGGATTAAGCAAGCTAATCGGTCAACCCAGACTTTTTGTGAAAAATAGCTAAATTTTCATTCTAAGCATCCAAGAAGTGTGTTTGACCTTTAAATTGATACCAATACGTAAAATATGAGAGAATATAGATGTGGAGTACTGCGAAATATCGCTCAGGCTGGGGGTATAGATTCGCAGATAATTCAAAATCCGCAGTAGTTTTGTACGGTATCAAACACTGCTTCGGCTCACTGGATTTTTATTCGATTTTTGAGATTTTGGGTATAGCTCATAGGTACATTCATTGACTTTTTTAGATACCTTGTCAGAAATCTTATACATATTAATAGCTGCTGTTTTCAGTGAATATCCGTCGTTTCATCCGCTAAAACCGAGAAGAATACAGTACTTTTCACTTCAAAAACAATAGACTTCTGGATGTATTGTCCAATTATTTCTATTAACACGTTCTGTATTTTGGGGCTCAAGACCCAACTTTACCTCATTCGGATTATCTAAGTCTAACGAAGTATTATGGAGTCTTCACTTCCCCCCCAGGCGATGTCCTCCCATCTTCGCAATAAAATTGAGTCAATAACCACTTCAACTTTATACTTTTGTTCTTTTAATATATCGAAAGCTTGTTTGTCTATAACGTTTTGAACCATCTATCAATCTCGATATAAAGTTCTGAATCACATCTTTGTGGTATTCCTTTTTCTTCGTGGGCGGTAAAGCATTCGATAACATCTTTCCATTTTTTAAGACAGTGCGACAGAAGAAATTTTGGGACTTAGTGGTTGCCCTTTCCGAACTCTCCTTTATTTGAAAATAAGATGTCGTCTTTACAAAAAGCACCCTTTGCTAAATCTGAATATGCTATACAAGGGGTCGGTCCCTTTCGTACGTCCATACCCTGTACCACAGTGCATTGAAGGGTATATAATTAAAATGAAAAAATGAAAATTCTAGTGGAATTAAAAATATTATGTTTCCAAACTAAACTTATTAATAAATAACAAAAATTTCGGGGCGTACGTCCCTGCCCCTCATGGTAAAGGATAAACCAGCCGAACGAAACAAAGTTTTTACTTGTTTTTAAATCCGCAATTATAGTTGTGGTTTTCTTTAAAAAATATTTTTTTTTTAATTCAACCTTTTCTTTTCAGATTTCCCTTAACATTTTTTTTGGGTGTATCACTGGATGCCCATTCAACAATCCACAACAAAACATGTCGCAACCAACTACCACTATACAACATGTTCGATAGCACCAAACAATAACAAACAATGTTAAGCAATTGCCGAATAACCACCACCAAACAGCCGGGCATGTCGCAAACGAACGTTTAGTTTAGCTTGAGAATTCGTGGAAAGTGGTCGTACGAGCGGAGTCTACGCGCGTCGAAATCGTGAATATACAGAATACACAACAAAAACAACAACGGTCGTTTACAGTGGAGTTTCAAATAAGAGCTACAGCAACAGAAGAAGTTTATGAAATTGGTTCGATACGAAAATTGAGAATATTTATTGAGTGTGCAAAATTAAATTTTGGAAATAGTTTTGAATGAAAATTAAAAAGAATTAAAATCGGAAATTGAATGAAATTGGAGTTGAAATAAATAAAAATCGAAATTTTTAAATATTTATTTGAAAAATAGTAACAAAACATATGAATAAAAATTGGGAAAAAATTGTGAAGTTAAAATAAAAAAATAAAATAAATAAAAAATTAATATTGGAGTGGAAAAAATAAAAATAACTACAACAGTTGTGTGTATTCCCCACTAGTGTTTGAAGTGAATGATAAATTTACCGACAGTATTGAAGTGAATGAGAATTAAACATAACTATCTAATAAATATCTTATCAATAGAGTTCAGTGATAAAGTGTGAGAGCGAATACAAAGCTACCGGCTGATTAAAAAAAAGTGAAAACCCCAACTAAAAATATTTCGAAGTAATTTTCTACCCGAAATTCAAATTGGAAAATTCTAATTTACTTTTGAAAGAGAAAATAAAACATATTTTGAATGTCAATTATTTCTAAGTGCATATTTGAAAATTTGTGAATCTTGAAAGTGTTTCAAAAATCAAAGAAAAAATTTTCCTCCAGGAAAATGTTCAAATAACTGCTAAAACCGACAATTGAAGCAATTGAATTGGAATCATCGTTGAATATCATCGTTGAAAAAAAGGATCTCCAAGACCCATCTCTCCCGCAAACCCACAACTCAACCGCAACCCCCCCACAAAAACAGTCTTATTATGGAGGACGAATTACGGTGTCCCACTTGCAAACAACTTTTTGCTAATCCGGTTTTATTGCCCTGCTTCCATGCCCTTTGCCTGGGCTGTGCTTTGGATATACAGACCCCATATACACCTGGGGCCATTTTAGCTTCCGTCACAGGCGGTGGTTCTTCCTCGTTGAATGGTGGTACTTTACACAGTGTTGCCGCCACAGTCCATCCCCACCCATCGGGTCTAGCTGCTGGTGGTCCCCATCATTCACATCCCCACAATCACACACATCCATCAACCAGACATTCATCCAACAGTTCAGCTGCCAGTACAACCAGCTCCGCCACGGGCACTGAATCCTTAACCTCAGATCAAGATCAATCGGATAAAGTTAGCATTCTGAGTGAAGCCGACTCGGGTGTCGTTTGCTGTTCGAACACATCACGGCCTGTGTCATATGCCGGTACCGGACACATTACCAATCTTTTGCAGGGTGCTGCTGCCTCAGCTCCCCCCGGTGCCGCTTACAGTCTAACCTGTCCTCTTTGCCGTAAAATTGTTTTCTTTGACGAAGGTGGTGTTCGCAATCTGCCACCCTATCGTGCCATGGAATCGATTGTCGATCGTTTCTGCGCCCGTGAGGCTCTACGTTGCCAGATGTGTGAAACAGATCCCAAAGTGGCATCATTGGTCTGTGAACAATGTGAAATACGTTATTGTGACGCCTGTCGGGAGCTATGTCATCCAGCGAGGGGTCCCCTGGCCAAACACAATTTGGTAAAGCCCAAAGGAGCTGCCCAGCAGCGAGAATCAGTGTGCGGAGAACATGAAGAGGTTTTGTCAATGTACTGCCTAACTTGTAAGATTCCAGCCTGTGCTGATTGCATCAATGATCAACGTCATCCACAACATGAAGTCCAGCCGATTACAACGACTTGCAAGGCACAAAAGGTAAGTTTTGGAAACAAATACTGTGATAATAATAATAGAAGTGTGTTAAGGGTGAGTTACCCTATGTGGAAGTGTAAAGTGTGTGATAATAGATTGTGAATAGATTATGGGGATCTCAAATTCCCATAATAAGAAAAATAGCATCGTAACTACCATGATCCATAAACGGTAATGCAAGGGCACGTCTAGAAAATAAAACGTAGATTTTGTTTGGTGAAAAATCTCTGAATGAAAATAGATTCAATAAACATTAATCGTACTGTTAGGGAAAAAATAGCTTTAAAAAAAACAAAAAAAAAATAAAAAAATAAAAAAATAATAACTCAAATCAAAAAAAAAAAAAAAAAGAAATTATCATCCAGGCCAGTGAAAAAAGTTCATTTCGTTATAATGGGACGTGGGAGCAGAGTTCTGATTAATTTCCATAATATTTAAACATTTATAAACAGGTCAGAGAACACCTATTTTTTTATCAGTACTATATTCCTAACTTGATTTTTAGGAATTGTCTACTGAATTATTTTTTAATTTTTGAGGAATACTTTTCTATGGTTTTCAGAGCTTTAGGCGTCGATTTCATTTCTAAATTTGAGGTTAAGTTATGTGTAGAAAAAATGAAGAATATACCAGAATGTGAGGTTAGTTTTTTTTATAACAAATTGTCCTCAGGGACTGACCATTAGAAAAACATTATTCCTAATATACTTCAAGATGTAAAAAAAATATTAAATGTGAGGTCAGGTTTTTAAAATATATATATATATATATATATATATATGTAAGTAACTAAATAAAAAAAATCAAAAAGAAATCATTGGGAATAATTTTTTTTTTCACAAGATGCATACCAAATACCAGAATGTGAGGATAGGGGTTTCTTTAAAAGAATGTCTCTCAGAAACTGAACAATATTTCCTTATACAAAAATTATTATAAAAAACATTACTCAGCAGTGAAAGAGAATTAAATAATAATAATGATAATACTAATATACTCCACTTTAAAAAAAGAAACCAAACCATCAAATGTGAGGTTATGAGTAGAGAAAGTTCGCGTCTGAAAAAAATAACTAAATAGAAAAAAATCAAGCCATTTTTGTTCGTTAGAAAATTTCAATGAAAAAAAGTAATCACAAAAAGCATAATTGTTTCGAAACCTGCCAGAGATTATTTCATATTAACTTCACTACATTGTATAAAATTGTGTCCAAAACTTTGGGTCTTTAGTGCACAATTTCCATAAAATCGGAACAAAAGACATATATCTAAATTTGATCTGATTTTCACGAAGATTAACACACATCATTCTACACTTTGTTCAGTACGCTATGCCAAATTTCGTGCAAATCGAAAAAAATATATAGGGACTTTAATACACCATTTACATAAAATCGGACGAAAATATATATGGGAGCTATATCTATATCTGAACCGATTTTCACGAAACTTATCACACATCATTCTGGACTTAATTCAGTACTCTATGCCAAATTTCGTGCAAATCGAAAGACATATAGGGAACCGATTTTCTCGAATCTGAACACAGGTCATTCAATATTGCATTGAGTAGACAATGCAGAATTCCGTACAAATCGAAAGATATATAGGGACTTTGGTACACCATTCACCTTTAATCGGACGAAAATATATATGGGCGCTATATCTAAATCTAAACCGATTTTTCCCAATTTGGGCCAAATAAGTGACTTGTGCCAAATTTCATCCAAATCGGATCATAAATGTGACCTGTACTTTGTTTACAATTTAACATCTACAGACGGACAGACGGACGGACGGACATGCATAAATCGACTCAGAAAGTGATTCTATGCATATGGAGTTATGATTTGTTTTCTTTAATTGAGATTTTGTTGTCTATAATAATATAAATCAATCCTTACGTCCTCCCAAAATTGTTAAGTATTCGAATATTATTCTTTTTAAAAACGTCATTTTGTGCCCTCTACCATAAGGTGGACATTGAAAAACGTGATCGGGACTTTCCTATGGAGGGTTTACCATGGTAATTTGTTGGTAGAAGTTTTCGACGCCCAATGCAAAACATGTAATATTTATCTGCACCCAATTTGATTGAAAAACATTCCAAAAATCTCCAAAATATTAGGTAGCACTTCTGCATGGAGTTTGCCCTGAAGTTTGAGTCAGTATTGTGAGCTTTTGTAGGGAGACCTACTACCCAACGAGAAGTCAAGTAATTACAAAATTGCAGTCATCTTGGTTGCAATAAGTCTCAAAATTCCAAAAAAGCCAACATTTGGGAGGTTTCTTTATATGATTGCCCAATATTTATGATTTTTGGTAAGCAAGTTTTTCACTCAATGAAAATCAAAAAAAAGACCTATAATACCACATTTTCAATACCAATTAACCTAGACCATTTCAAAATTAATAATTAGGACTGTTGATTATTTTCACAAAGTATGTGGGCCACAATTTTTTCTTCTTAATTTTTTCTATGGTCAAATATCAAGCATCTGAGACCATTTTTTTTACTTTTTAGAAAAGAGAGAATCTTTAATTGAAAATAATTAGGATTTTTCTACAAAATATGATTAATGAAAATTGACTGAAAAAGTTGTCTTTCCATAAAAAGTCACTAAAGGTCCTCACTTTGTTAACCCTTTCACTGTTTTTGTCGACATTTAAAATTACTCTCTTCCTTCGCAAATTTTCGGTTATCCTATGTACCGTTACAATTGATGTCTTTGTTTTTGCTGAAAGACAGACAAAACTGTCCGAGGGTTAAAATAAGAATTGCTTTTTTTCTAAACTCTGTGCCTTCATACGATTTTAAGTACAAAATTTTAGATTTTTATTCCGACAAACATTTTTTTTACACTGAAAGGGTTAAACCAAATCCAAAAGTATTTGTTGCTTCTTTTTTTCTTGTACAATTATTTTAGAGTTTTCAAGAAGTATTTAAAATTCATACTTTTTTGTCGTCAGGAGCCTGCCCTTGAAGGGAAACATTTTTCAATATAATTTATTGGAGACAATCTGAGAAAAAAATCTATTGGATCCTTGACATTCAAGGAAAAACTAAAATATAAGCAGAAATTCCAGTCCTAGATATGTGATTTTGATTGGGTAGTTTTATCTTCTCAACAGTTATTTTCTTAAAGAGTTCTATATTTCTTTTCCAAACTTTTCCCACCTCACCTCTTTCCCTTTCACCTTGTTCTGGTCACTTTAATAATACCCTTCTGTGTATTTTATTTGTTTATCCTATGTACATATACATACATATATTTCTTGGACAATTTATGACCCCATTTGGGGGATATATTTTTGTTTCAAAAATATTTATTTCCTTTTGCCACTACCAACAACACATGTGAAAACATTCACACAAACAAACATACCTGTGATTATTTGTGTATATATGTACTTTATATGTATTTATTCAGTAATGTCTTATCGTTAATAAATCTCCACAAAAATACACACGAGCACACACACTCTCACATTTCAGTCATATAACTATACAAATAAATACATTTGTATATGGCTGTGTCTGCAAATATATTTGTTTTTACTACTCCTGCTACTATCTGTATATGTCTGTTCAGATCCTTTTGCAAGGAAGGTAAACCCGGCTGAACACCTTAAATCGTAATGAAAATCATAAATTTTATAGTTATTACCATAGCAAACCAATACATTGAAACGATTGAGGTACGGACGGACAGACGGTCGGATATGAGGTTAGAAAATTACCAAGTACTACTATCACTTCACTTCTCCCTTTCGTGTGCAAAAGTTCAGTGTTATCTTCATTATTTTTACTCCTGTAATCTCCTTCTTTACTAACTGCCAAATCTCCAATAAAAATGTGTTACAAGGTATCCGAACTGCTAAAAACTGCTACTGTGTGTTATCGTTTTTTTGTGGTAATCTCTGTTTGTGTGAAGCATGTGTGTGGTAGGGTACGTGTATGTATGTCGGGTCGGTCATATTTAGTTTTTGAATTGGTTTTTGGGTTTTGTTGTATTTTTTTGCATTGTCCTTTTTGTATTGTTGTAGTTGTTGTTGCTGGTTTTGTGTGTAGAAATAAAAATAAATAACATTTGTAAATCCTTACAATGTTATTCTAGTCTGTTTCAAAATACCGAATAAAAAAAGAAAGGATATCATAAAAATCGATCAATAAAAAAATAAATATAACTGGTGATTTGATTTGTGTGCCTGTATGTGTGAACATATTGACGACAAGATGGACAATGAAAGGGTCTTCAAAAAATATAAGAAAAATTTATTCTATAGAAAAAAATCTGGTCTCTGTTCTTGAGGGTTTTTTTTAAGAAAAAATGTTTTAAACGAAAATATTACTTCAGATATGTCTGACCTCAGCTCAGCTAAAATTTTTTTATAGAAAAAATCCCACCTCTGTTTCTGATGTCATTTTTCCTGAGCTTTCTTTTTTCTGAAGTAAAGAGTCGAGCAAAGCTCTAAAGGTAATTTTTTCTATAAAAAATCGCAGGCCTCAATTTATCTGAGGTATATTTTTTTGAAGACAAAAGGTTTAAACGAATCTGACCTTAGTTCCTGAGCTAGAAAATTTTATAGAAAAAACCCGACCCCTGTTTCTGAGGTGCCATTTTTCCTGAGATTTATTTTTCGTGAAGTAAAGAGTCGAGCTCTGGAGGCATTTTTTTCTCTATAAAACAAATCGCAGACCTCAGTCCGTCTGAGGTATATTTTTTCGATAGATACATTTGGAAGAACTAAGTTCATCGGAGATCTATTTTTTTCTATAGAAAAATGCATCAATGTTTTATTTTCCATAGAAGAAATCTTCCCATTATCTGAGTTCGTATTTGTATCTATGATAATAATCAATAACCTCTCTTCATCTGAAGGAACATTTTTCAATATAAAAAAAATCAGACCTCAGTTCTTGACGTAAATTTTCTATAGAAAAAACGAACCTCTTTTTATAGAAAATAATTCTAAGGTATTCTTTATTTAAATCCAGGCCAG